TGACTGAGGAAGGCAAATCATTTTATACTAATATTATTTCCCCAGAAATGAAGGTCTGCCAAACTGATATCGACCTAACTATAGCAACAATTTGGTAACTAAGATAATTGTTTTTATATTTAGATTAATCATAAAAATGCGTTAAAATGTCCGACAACAAGATTTATTTTACATCAGTACTAGTTATTTTATTTCAACATATATTAGTGTGTATGTTTTATTCTAATTAGTTTTCAAGCAGCTCTTCTTCACTTCCAGTTGTTCTCTATTTTTACGTATATCTTTTGTATCTATGAACATAACACGTGTAGTGCAGATATACGTTCTACAAAATTTTTTTTCAGGTACTTGTCTTATAATAAACTTACAACTCTGCATGTGAATTTATTTCGAGGTTTGGCGGCTCTTAAATACTTGTAAGTAACTTAATTCCGTAAAAAATAATTTCCAACAACGTGTTGATTGTTTGCTCTCCTATTATATCACACATCTCTTTTTATTGTTTTTGTCCAATACAATTATATTTTATTTTCGATTTACATCAATACCGATCCAATTTATCTTTTTTATAACATTTTGCAATTTTCACTCCTCTTGTTTTTGAATTTTTGTCAGATATTTGGAATCCTCTAGTTTTATCCATGCATTGCCATTACAACAATTTGCCCACTAAGCCCTACTTTTCTTTTCATAATTTTATAACATATAGGTTAAAAAGCCATATTTGAAAATCTTGTAAAATCCTTGTTATTTTTTCATACTTTTTGAAAGAAAAAAGGTGCCAATGTTAATATTATGGAAAATCTAGAGAGAACCATTTCCCGCCAAATTTTCAATGGCTTATATCTCAAAAGCAAGCACACAGACCCTTCATTTTTTTCTGCATTTTCAGTTCCATTATTTATATTCTATCAATCTATAACAGTCTTTAAAAAAGCTTGTTATTTTAAAGCAGAGTAGCGAACATCCTTAATGACTGAAAAAACAAACGCATGTTATAATAAAGATACATTTTCCAGGTTTAAGTTGAATGTGTTTAAAACAAAAAATCCAGTCAGATGTCAGTCAATACAACGGTACTAACGTGTCAGATTAGCTCAGTTTATCCTCCAGGTACACGGTGTACCTTAGATAGCTGGTTAGCTATGGTTTAATGACATATTTATTCAAAGCTAAATTAAACTCATTCATTATAATCTGTACAATAATCGGTATTGATAATGCAATCTATGTAGTGTTATATTCGAAGGCCTTGTATCTGTGATGTTCAGTAATGTCATTGTCTCACGATAGTAATTCTGAGTAGGATACATGTATTCATCATCAACTAGCAGTTTACATCAACAGTTTGCGAAGATGACCACTTTGCATAAAACAGCCGTTGTTTACCAACCATTATAAATATATAACAAAACCACGCAATAGCAAACAGCATACAAACCTGTTCCGGTCAGATCAAGAAACATAGAAACATTCGAATAATACAACAAATGCAGCGTAAGCAGTAAATCATTCATAAAAAAAAAAAAGAATAAAGATAAATTCGACTTAGAAAAATAAATATATTAGGCAGTCTTAGAGAATTAAAGTCCTGCGTATGGCATTCAACATGCCTATACGTAGAAAGGACTGAAACTTACCATTACATTGTCAAGGGTTTAAGTTAATCAACAATATAATATGTGTAAGAACGTTTATGTTTAAAACCAGGTTCAATCCACCATTTTTTCTTTAAATGTCCTGTACCAAGTCAGGAATATGGCAGTTGTTATCAAATAGTCCGTTTCTATGTATGTTGGCGTTTGTTTTTGTTTTAGTTCAGTGTTTCTGTTGTTCCGTTTTTTTCCTCTTATAGTTGATGTGTTTCCCTCGGTTTTGCTTTGTGACCCGGATTTGTTTTCGCTTAATCGATTTATGACTTTTGAACAGCGGTATACTACTGTTGCCTTTATTTATGTATACATGTTAGTTAAGACACATAGCTATTCCATATTGTCGTACAAAACCCCGGCCAATTGTTTTTATTTCTAAACATACGTTTTTACTGTACAATGTAAAGTAGAAAGTTAAGTAAAATAGAAGGGAAATTATGTGTCGTTGTGCTAAAAGAGTTTTCGACTTCGAAAATCTGCACCGATTCAAGAATAACCAATACTGTGATACGTGTTGTTTTTTTTTTTTTTTTTTTTTTTCGGCAGCAGGATAAATGCCAACAATGGTATGGCTGTTGATCGACAAATTTTCGAGGAAATAATTTGATTCATAACCCTGTACTTAAGAAAAAACTATTAAGCCATTTAAATGTTTCAATTAAGGTGTTATCCAATCGATAATGCATTTTATATTTCTCTATTTGTTATAAGAATATCATAGTCATTTTAAAGGAGGTCTGTTTAATTATTAACATGATTTTTACGAATTTCCAGTTTTTTAGAATTGACGCTGTTGGTTCATTGTAACAAGGAACATCTCGAAAGTATAACAGTTTACCGACCTTTGAAAATATTATGCATTTCAGTACATTCAAGATTCTTGATATTCTTATAGTTGTTCATATTTTTTTGTTAATTGTCGTCAGTAAACGAGAGGCGAAAGATACCAAAGGCCGAAAATTAACTACCAAAACACAAGATAGAAAAATAAAGTTTGCGCAACACGAACCCCACCAAAAACCGGGGGTGATCTCTGGTACTCCGGAAGGGTAAGCAGATGCTGTTCCAAAATGTGGCACCAGTCGTGTTGCTCATGAGGTTAAAACCTGGTGATAAGTCTAATTCGGTAGGTCACATTCGGGGAAAGGAGGACTGGATTGTGGTTACGACGATTGGAACATATCCGTCGTCATCTGTGAAGCAGATATTCCATAATGGTCAACCAAATCGTGCTGGCATCAGTTAAATTTTCCAAGGGGTCATTTCAACTTCACCATTTGAAAGTATCCTTGTGAGCAGCAATCCTCCATCAAGGAACTCAAAGTAGGAAACACAAGTCGTGGAACATCGTATCAACTTTGAGATATATCCTCCATATGCAGACGCTACCAGAAAGTTGCTAAATAAAAATGGAAAGTTCACAATTGAAAAGCTGAAATCATCTGATTTGTCGTAAAATTTTGTTATCAACCGACCCTCATTGTCTATATCTAGATGTAAGTCAAGATATGAGACAGACTTAACTGTATCTGTTGTATCCTTTATTTCAAGTAAATGGGATAGATGCGTTCAACATAATCACCAAACTTTGATTATATAATTTCATTTGAATATGATACTTTCTGATATTTCAATTAATTGGGATACCATTTTCACTGTTTTTCGTAATTATTGTATGTATAACAAAGAGCCGGAACTAATATCAATGCTGGTTAATGATTTGCAAAACACTATGATTATAGGAGAATACAAAATGTTTTATGATTAATATATCATTATCTGTTTAAATGATATCATGTCAATTTAAAAACTAAAAGTATCCAAACATTACCTATTTACCTCCTTACCTATTAACCTTTATATTAAAATTCTGTTTATTATCTTTTTTATTTTGGTTTCGATTATAATTGAATAGAATTAAATATGAATACATTTTAAGGAGTTCATATACATCAAAGGTTGAGAACGAAAACTGGCCTTTTTCGAAATTATCAGAGAAACATTTCTTGACAAATATTCCATAAATACAAAAAAAAACATTTTATTTCACATGTTTCAAGATATATCGTACTTTTTTCTTTTGTTTTTTTATCTTATACGTTATTTTGTTGTTTCGATATATACAGTCAAAAGGATTGCGTTTTGTATTTTCAGTGATTTATCTTATGTCAGCAGCTCTAAATACGACTGACTTTCATAATACAATCATGATAAAACAGAAAAACAGCAGTTACATTTAGTATTACTTGTAGTAACATTATAATGGTACACATTTTACTGCAGCAGCTTGACATTTCGACAATAAATATCTTTTAAGTGATTTTCTAGTCAAAAATATTTGAAGTTTGAAAACTTATTCACAAATTGAAGAGCTGATACAACCAAAAGGACACAAATTATAGCGAAAGACGTACAAAGAATTATATGTTTGCCTTGTGTAAAATGTACCACTTTGAAGGACATTTAGATTGATTTAATAAAATCGATAAGATAACTTAATGTCATCTTAATTATGTCAATGGAGAATGAAGAGAATCCCCTGTACCATAGATGAAAAATGACTATTTGTACATGCTATATATACTTCTAACAGGTCGAAGTCGACTATTTTGGCCACATACAAACCGTTCACCATTTTTGGAGATATGAAAGCATTTCGTCTTAATCTAATTTGGTATTACGTTTAAGATACACCGTTTCTCCGATGTTAAAAAATCAGGACATTGAGAAGTACGTTATTGAAGATTATCTCAATGTTGTCAAGGGAGAGGTTACTCTGACAACAACGGAACAGTTGTTCAAACTATAATAAATGAGTGAAGGATTTTATAGTGTTAATGCTGACAACTAAGGTAATTGAATTACAAATGTTGGACTGATATTCCTGCCATCATCATTTTGAAACTTGTGTCTGCTAACAAACAACTTCATTTAGTTTAACCATATCACCACTCGATACGGAGATGATGAAGTGAGGCTTTTAATATTTGAAGTCAGAAGAACGCAATTGAATTATACCTTCACCGAATATCGACGACGCTGTTGTAATATTTGGTCACTAAGATAATTGTTTTTGTATTCAAAGTCATTGATTATGTAGTAAAACTGTTTTAAATTTCATAGCGGGCCTTAACATGTTATTTTGACATACAGTATTCAAGTCATACATGAAAATAACTTTTTATTGTATCATAAACATCATTGATTATCTGCAATTTTACAACCAGTTTCCAAACAGATAAACTACACTTCCATTGATCTTCTTTTTCCAAGTTAAATGTGTTTGCATTGATGAATATGATAAGTTTTACGTAGAAATACATTTCAAATATTATTTTACAGGTACCTGCACAACAACCAAATTGCAACTTTTAATGGAAATATCTTTAAAGGTTTGACGGCTCTTAATAAATTGTAAGTAACTTGATTCCACAAAAAACATATGAGACTTCATGTGTTACAGGTTTGCTCTCGCAATGATTTAATTTATCATTTTGAATTGTTTTTTGAAATTTCTACAAAGATTTATAAAAAATTTGTTTCAATGAATTTGTTTTTACATGTAAAGTGTACTATTCTCAAGAAATAAAAAAAAAGGGCGTCAATGAAATGTTCTCATTGGTGATGTTACCCCGTATCTGTTTAAGACAAGATAGTTTACTGGAGCAGAGATGACAGATGTTTTATTGACATTGAGGCCAAACCTTGCACAAAAAGGTTAGTATTATCAATCTGGTGCATAAATTTGTACAGCTTTGACATACAAATTACGTAAAGCTGTCATATGATAAGGTCATCTGAATTCTGACTTTCTTCTATTTTGTCCTATCTAAGTGTCATTAACAAGATCTAATCTATTGCTAAATATGAATAAGCAAATATCTCTATATAACGCTACAATTCTGATTCTGATAGAGTCATAAGTGTTCCATTGTAGCTCTAAAATGGTACCCCAATTTGCGAAATTGTCTTTAGTTAATCCTGAATGTGAAAGACAAACTATTTATATAAAAATTTCACTTCCACGAAAAATCCTTTGACTAAAACAATACTAAAGAAACCGTAGTGCAAAATATGCTATACGCCTTAAAAAATTATAGGGTTCATACGGATAAATGAAATGAAAATGATGAGCCGAAATCCTTTGACGGCTAGTGTCTGCATGCACACAGCTCCATCCAACTTAACTCCATCGCCGCTTGTTATAGACATGATAAAATGAGATAATAAATCTAACACGTCAGAAGACCTTACTTAACATCTACCAACTTTTGCACTGACCTAGCCTAGCTAGATATACTACACTTTCGTATGTCTAGTATTGCCTACGTTAATCTGTTTTCACTGATGGATATGACAAATGTAATTTTATTCATTTTTTGTTGTAAAATAAGTGTTTGTCAAAGGATTATTTTGAAAACGTTTTGCAATTTTCCTAAAGATGTTTAAATATCGTTTTGCTTTATCTGGTAAAACGTCTTAAGTGTACTATTGCACAAGTTCGTGGTTTTCTCTGACTGTTAAGGACATCTTTACACTAAATCCGTTGGATGTTGGATGTGTTATATTCTGTAGGTCACCTGTCCCAAGTCAGGAGCCTCTAATTCAGTGGTTGTTGTCTGTTGTTGCTGTTTATCATACTTGTTTTTCGTTTATTGTTTGTACATAAATCAGGCCGTTAGTTTTCTTGTTTGGATTGTTTTACATTTGTCATAGTTATCTCGAGCAGGGATGACAATTTGTTTTTGTATAATTGAGACTAAACCTTCCTAAAGAGGAATACCCTTATCCGGTACTATACTTCTTCCATTAGTATTTCACCTATTCAGAACAACCATAACATTGTACTTTATGATGTTTTTCCTTTGACTTTTAAGTAGTTACCCGGAAAGAAGATGAAAAAATGTATGAAGCTACTTAATGTCAATAGTCATTTCTATTTTGTTGTATTTAAGGGTTAGTAACAAGATATAAGTTAAATTTTAAGAGATATGTATAACTTTTGTTTTAATTTGATTTGGTATCATTTCTGAAAAAGAAATAAAAAAGATGTTTAGATAGATGTTGATGAATTGCTCAGATTAATTAAGTGGTAGTGAATGTGGTGAATGGAGAGGTTTTCCTATTTTTTTTTATCACAAGATATCTAACTGGAGCAGGGAGGAACAAAACATATGATAAAATTGAGACCAATATAAACGTTGGCACCTATAGGAATACGTACGACCTTTAACAATGAACAATACCCACACCGCATTATAAGCTAAAAAAAAGTCCCTGATGTGACAAATGTAGAGCAATTAAAACGAGAAAACCACTGAGTTATGTAAAAAAAAAAAAACAATAAACAGAATACAAGTAGAATACATGCAAATAGCAATACACGACAATCCTTTGATAATGTGCTGACATTCGAATAAAGGACTAAATTCCTGTGTGTATATATATATATAGGTCGTCAACCACCCTATAGGTAGAGAAGACAGAACATAACGGTAAACGAACCTATATTACTTAGGTATTTAATGACTACATGGTATGATTATCCACTTAATGATACAAAATATAATAAATTAAGTTATAAAGGCACAGATGCATTTGTTCTTGTCCATTTTCTTCCATGAAAAACACAGAGCAGTGTTTTTGTTTTACACCAGACGTTTTAACTGTAGGTACGAAAACAAATTTGACAATGTAAAATATATATTTTCAAGTGAAATAGGAGGACAGCATGCCTGATTGTGCTCATAATTTGCATTTAGTTGAAAATAACTACGACTAACAAGAGTAAATCTATTTATTCGAATGGAATCTTACTTAAAAACAATTTTGTCTTCCCTCGTTAACTGGATTGATTTACGCAACAAAATAAAAACAATTCCATCCGGTCAATTGACGAACTGTTGTATATGTTTTATAGGAAATGGATAAAAAGTAACAACATCATAGCTGTTGGTGATTATACGTTCCACATAATGAAGGCGTTCATTACCCTGTGCATTACATAAATGACTTAACAACTTTTTGAAATAAATAGGTGCAAGCGAACTTGTATTTGAACAATAAGTGCCTTCCAAAATATAACATCTTTTAGTATAATATCAAACAATTACAAATATTGTATTTGTTATTAGAATTTCCTGAATAGTCATTTTAAGGTGAAGAGTGTAATACTCTAACTGCTTTTTTGCAAATAATGATTTCCAAAATATTGACATAATATTTTCTGATTTGAGCCAGAATTCCCATTTTTTGTCATTGCAAACAGGGGCACACATGTAGTATTGACCTTCGAAAAAAAATTCATTCATTTCAGTATATTTAAAATGCATAGTTCTTTACATCTTTCTATGTATTATCTCCAGTCGTCGATCATATACTTTCTTTAGAATTTGAGAATTCAAGATATTTTACTTAATCGGTATAGAGTTTTTATCGTTTTTTCAATATTATTTTAATATTGTATGAACAACAAAAGCCAATGCGGGATTTTTAATTAATTATAATTATAATAGCCTGCAATTTCGTTAATGATTAATATTTTATTATCAGTTTAAATGATATCAACATGATCAAGTCAATGTAAACAGCACATATTTACTTCCGAACATCCTTATCTTTTCAGTGAAGATGTGTTTCATATTGATGTACTTAATGGATTATGAGTTTGTTCAGATACATTAAAAGCTTAAGAAAGAAATATATTACCCTTGATCATGTTGATGTAGATTCCAATCGAACGGGATTGCCCTTAGTATTTTTAAGACTGACTTTCATAGCTCGTTATACAAAAAAAAATCGATTGTAGTTAGTTTTATGAATAATATAAAGAGAAAACAAATTAACAGCCGCTACATTTACCAATATGAAACCATTTTGAGTTTACATTAGAACTGTGTTGGTCGTCACCATCAATGAGACAGGATGGTCTAACAGAATTTCTAATTCAGCTGCTTATTAAACTTTGAGTTCGATTTCCGTAATTCTTTGAAGTAAATAGCTTAGAATTGTCAAGCTGCTTGAAAAAACTCAAGTACATTCTAAATAAAAGAACATCGTTCCAATGTCTCCCGAGTTGCACATATTTTATCTAAATAAGGGCAATATCTAAACAAAAGTTTTTTTTTAATTTTTGTTCTTTAAAACTTTTAGAAATGAAGGATTGAGGGCAAATACTTTACAGTTTCCAATATAATTAATATTTCCAAGGGCCATAACTCATTTAAAAAAATATTTGATAGGCACTGACTTTCGAACTTGTCCGAGACTTATATAAACCTTTGATATAAATTTGATAAAAGTCTGGCAAAATTTGTACAAATGAGAACGCTTACAATGCTTACAATGCAATTTTCCATATAATTAATATTATAACTCTTTTAAAAATATATATATTTGATAAAAACCTAACAAGAATTGTACACATGAAAGCGATAACAAAGCAATTTTCCATAGAATTAATATTTCCAAGGGGCATAATTCTTTTAGAAAAAGTTGATCGGCCCTTATTTTCGAACTGGTCCGAGACATTGCTGATATAAACCTATGATATAAGTTTTATAAAAATCTGGCAAGAATTGTACACGTTAGAGCGCTAACAAGACTGGACAGATAGACGCACGGACGGACGGACTGACGGACAATAAAGACAGGGAGATGTTGTGAGTGTATAATTACCAGCATCATCCAACAAAATGTTAAACATTTAAAAATTGAAAACCAACGACCTTAACTTGAACAGTTGTGGAACAACATACGAATGAGAACAAAATGTACATCATTTTAAAATGGATCGACTCGTCAGATTGACACGAGGCACAAAGCAACTAACACAAGATAAAAGATTAAAAATACCGATCTAAGAGTACTGGTAGTTACCTACTGCTTATACAAAGACAATTACAATTAATTACAACTTAACACAACAGAATGAATTTTGCACAGGGACAAAGCGATATCAAAAAGACAAACTAAACAAAATATTGATACAACAGTCTATTATTAAGAGCTACATTTTTTATTCTGTTTATATGGAATAAAATGATTTAAGTTTTGTTTTTTTCCTTGAAATTTCATTATTTATTGTTTGTATCAACAGGTACTTGGACAACAATCCACTGGACTGCTCCAAATGCGAATTAAAAAAGTTAAAGGAATTTCTGCAACATAAGACAAATTTGGTAGTTTCCGGTGCATTGTGTGAAAACAAAAAGTTAATTAATCATATCTTCACCAACTGCAAAGGTAGTATATATAATGCAGCTAATATTTAAATTAAAAACAAAGAAAAACATGTCACTGTAGAATGACACAAAGATATGCATCGTGCAACTTATTTTTGCATACAATATAAAAGGACGAAGAAGCCGGGATTGGAAAATGATTAATTCGCACACTTTGTATCGAAATATGTAAGATAAAACTTCATTTCAAGTATTTGGAATTACATTTTTGGAACTTTATATTGTATAAACATGCGTATGCACTTCAAGAAAACGGTGTGTTATTATGAAAAACGTTTGATGGATTCTTGATATTATAATCAGGAAAATAAAAGTTATTTCAAAATCATCTCAAAATCTTAAGCTTACAATGCATCATGTGCTGCAATTTTAAAAGTAATAATAGTGCATAACTAGATATAAAAGAAAATTAAATATTTTACTGTGCCTGACAATAGTTATAATATATGAAAAATAATTTACATATTTCTATTTTTGGCTATCAATATGAGTATGGGAATGCCCAAGGGTTAAACAATAGACAATTTTCAACCTGGTGGATACAATTCCTCGTTCAAGAGAAACATGACGGGTGTCCCATGATGAACAATAACCGCTAGCATTTCCAAGGAATTTTATTAGTAATGTTTTGTTATTATGATGTCGTTGTTTTAATTTTTTCCACGACGTCTTCTATTTTTTTAAATGTGATGTTTGATTGCCCCCTAGGTATCATCTCTCTCCTATTAAGGGCAACATTCGACCAAAACTATACAGTTATAATTACAGTTGTAGCTGTGTCTTATTATAGTTTGGTATAACCAATGAACAGTGATAATTAGTTATATGTAGATATTTTTCAGTCTAGAAAACGTTTCATCAGTGAAAATATGTTTACTCCATTTCAAAGATCTGAAAACTCTGACAGTCATTATTTACATGATAACATCTTTGTACGCTCGACAACTAATACATGTAACTATAAAATAAATTCATTTTAAACTAGGATGAAAGTACATTACTGCACCGTCTGTTAGATCGTTCGATATAATAAATTTTACATCTGCTTCGTTCTGCTATTTTATGGGCTTTTATTTAAATTTGTGTATTGCACCTCACATCAAAACGAAACTATATGCGTTTGACTGTCCCTCTGGTATCTTTCGTCCCTCTTGAATCAAATACGAAACTACATGGTAAAATGTAAGGTATTGTTTTCTTTTTTTGAAACATTGTGTTTATCAGAGATGACAGCAGAACATACAGAAGAAATCTCAACTGTTTCCCAGCAACAAACAAGCCTTATTATAAGTAGTGCAAGTAAGTCCAAATTTCGTTTTAATGATGAAGTTAAAATATTGTATACTCAGGAAGAAAAAATGGAAATTCACAATAACAAATGAAATAACATTAAAAGTCAATTAACATAAATGACCATATATATTGACTTAGTTTTTGGGGAAAACACATAGTTCGATGTAATTTCATTGAACCAGGTGATAAATTGTTATGTTACTTACTTATTTTACGCATTTATACACAAAACTTTTACTTGGGTTGAATTTTACAAGTTAAGATATCTGCTCCGGACATGAATTATGCTTTAATAAGTTGTTAAACATTACAGAAAGAGAGGTCACTCTTACAAACATATCGTAGCTACAGTAACCTGTAGTTTGAGACCTTTTACTTTATTTACGATTTGTTTACATGTCTCTTTACATATATTTATATACGTCAATACGTATTCAATTATTTGTTTTATACTAGTAATTTCTTGCAATTTTTTTTAATAAAACCTAAGTTGGTTTTGTATTCATGCACAAATGTCAGAGTCGTACTTTTCATCCCTAAGATGTATTAACACTAACGCCAATTGAATGTATAGTATTACAACTAACTGAAACATTGAAAAGTAAAAAAAACAGACTTCTTATTCTTCACACTTTACTTGAATATGTTCCAGTTTTACTCGTGTTAGCGTTTGTATTGTTTTAAACTTTAGTTTTTCCTTTGGGAATTTTATAAACGTTTCTTTTTCTTTGAGCGCGGTGGTCTGTTTGATAAAGATAGTTTTGTTTTTCTCTGAATGATAAATTGTGTACTGTTCTGACCCCATTTTACTTGTCAGAGAAGACAACAGCACCAGTCTGAACTACTACTTAGCATCAAAAATGTTTAATTTGAAGTAGTACGGTTAAAACCAGATTGGATTGTAAAAACTAAAGCTTTCTGTGAAAATTTAGTAAACTTACATTTGTTCAGAAATTGGTATTTGTTTTTGCTTGTCATTTTTCAAATTACAAATGCATCTTATTGTTTCTCGTCTATCTATTTTTACCAATAACAATCAAACACATGCCAAGGAAGCACTACCCATGCAAACAATGAAACATGGTTTTGTCCTGGTATAGTTAACACTTTGATTTCCTGTGAAAAAATGAAAGACTATTACATTTCTTCTTAATATGCTGTTGTCTGTTTGTTGAATAGTTATTTTCTCCTAAATGTATGTTTTTACACATATTATTGAATGATTGACGTATTGTTGCTTGTTTAATTCTGACTTTTTCACATTTTGTTGCCAGAATCAGATACGACAGAAACATTTCCATCTTCTGCTACAATAGATAATCCAGCAAGAACAACGCAGAGTACTACAGGTAAGGCCAGACATCGTTTAATTAACGAAAGGAAAAAGTATATATTCATAAAAAAAACACATGATAAAAAATACTAAAATTAAACTTTATCAAAAATATAGTCAATATATTCAGACTTATTCTGGAGAAAAAACAACATATGTAATTATGTTTATTGGAACAACTGGGAACAATTATTAACTGCTGACTAGTGTCAAGCGCATGTACACAAAACTCAAACCTGTCAATAAAACGAAACATTTAAGGAATAACATATGAAATGACTTGTTTCAACATGTAATTCGCGGTCATACAAATGGGGGGTGTAGCTAACTATAAAACCAGGTTCAACCTACCGTTTTCTTCTAAAAATTCCTGTAACAAGTCAAGAATATGGGGATTGTTTTTCACTTGTTCAGTTAACTGATAGCGTTTGATTTAGTCAGTTTGTATGGACTTCCCCTTTTTCGAATTTACCTTGTAGTTCCGTAGTCTTGTTATACTTTTTTTTATATTTTCCAAGTCTAGTTGTCAAACTAAATAAACATGAAAAGATAGATAATATGGTCAAAATGATAACCTGTATTATCGCACCTAGGTAAATTATGACGTTATGATTGGTTTAACGCTGTCACGTGGTGATCCCCCATGGATCCGTAGTGGGTCAGTAGATTACATATGGGGTTCATGACGTCACGTTTACTATTGATGGTGACGTCATCGATTAATGTTTTTGTATTTCATTACTTATTTTTAAACATAAGTCCATTGTGCGATAAATTTGTTATACGGTTCACTACTGACCCCTTACGGATCCACAGAGGGTTAGTAAAATCCATAAGAGATTCGACCTTCGACCTCACCCCAATGGCTTTTACTAACCCTCTATGGATCCGTATGGTTCAGTAGCAAACCATATAACTTATAGTATAAGGTCTTTAATCTTTTTCGAAGAGTTGTCTCATCATATTTCTACTTAAATATACGTTAATATACATGTATGTATGTGCTTCTATAGAGTAAAATGAATGGCTGAAAATTAAAGCAAGATATCAAATAATGAAAACTGGCAGAAGAGGGAATAGTCTATTTTAATATTACCGAATTTTGACTCCGAACAATATAATTTCTCGACATGTTAACTACAATGTGGTAGCCCAAGTCAAAGTGGACAGCAGTTCTTTAGCAGTTTATTAGCATTCACAGTTGTTACTCGACATCTGTTCTTTAGCACTTCATTAGCATTCACAGTTGCCAAATTCAAGGCAATAGTTAATTTGCATATAGGCATTCCAATAGCATTCAATAGCAGTTTCTTAGCAGTTTATTTAGCCTTTACAGTTATTTAGCAGTTATTTTTTACGAAAAATTTAAATGAGATACTCAAAAACTGCTATCTTCTCTGAATATTCATGAGAACTGCTATAACAACAGCTATCAATAATGAATATTTATAGAAACTGCTAAGTTGTACATCCTAATATGGCTTTCTAAACTGCTAATAACTGCTATGGAATGCTATCAGATCTGTCAAAAGTTGGAATACAAAGGTATACATGAATATACAGTGTACAAGATATGAATGCAAAAATAAAATTCTAATATTTTACTGCAAGTCTTGTTGAAATTTCAAAAAGTTGTACCAACTTATATTTGTGATTTGAGCAGTAACTGCAATCAAATGACTCTATTTTAATCCAATAACAGACTTGTTAAGGGGTGTAAACATGCTTTGTAAGTACTGTACCTGGCCTTATACCCCTTATTAATTATGTCAGCGGCAAAATAATAGGAACAGTTAAGAATTATAATGCACTTTAAATATCATTGCTTATAAAAAGCAACTTATTCAATAAGAGTGGTTACTTAAGGGACTATTTATTACCTTAAAAAAGTGATTTTCAGATTAAAAGTTTTTTATTTTTATTATTATTTAATTACCAAATGTACTACTAATTTCTCTTCTAATATATATATTCTGTGTGGACCAAAAGAAAACATGCAGTTATCTCCTCTTTCTCTTTTGGAATTAAACAAAATAATTCTTAATACATGTAATATATTATGTTTCCACTTTCTGAAAAAAATTTAAGTAACATATATTAACTTCATTAAATGGATTGTTTGGTCAATATTAAACAATCAGCTATATGTGACCTAGGTTTCCCTAATATTCCCTCCCCCTTTTTCAACTCTTGAATATGATTTATTTTTTGGTTTTTTTACAAAATTATATTAAAATATTCATATTTTTATTTTCAAATAACATCTTGCACTGTTAGTATATGCTAGTATTTTATTACAATCCTATCATCATCAGATATTCTATTTGAATAAACAACTATCCCCCCTTTTTTTGGGCTTTCTGTATTATTTCTGTTTTTCCCTACAAAGTTATGTCAGAAAATACACATGCATTATCTGTAACTTCAACTTACTGTACTGCAGGTGTGAGAAATTATTCCATTTAGCCCAAATTAAACTTCATAATTGACAAAAGTACAGTTTTTCATTAGCAAGTATTTACACACATCTTGGAGCCAAAATGCACATTTGAAAATGATCAAATAACCTTCAAATAAAGGTTTACTATCAAGCTAAAAACACAGCCAGATCCAAGCATTTTTATAACAAAGATTAAAACCAAAACTGCTATCAAACTGCTATTGAACTGCTGTCATAACTGTTGTCCAATTGACAAATTGACAACAGTTTAGAACAAATGTAGAAGGTAGATCCAGACTGCTAAGATGAATGCTAAGAGGAATGCTAAGAAATGGTGAAATAAGGCAGTTTCTCAAACTGCTATTAGATGGAATGCTATGAACAGCTGAAAGACTGCTAAAAATATGAAGAACTGGTAAATAACAGCTAATAAACTGCTAATGATAGCAGTTCAGTTTGACTTGGGAGGACATTCTGGTACTCAGTCAAGTAAAAGAAGAAAAATCAAGCGTACAACCGGTGCAGTTTGGGAAATTATTAACTGTTTTATGTTTTCTATACACGCAAAATCAACGCAAACAGTTGATTGTTTTCCCAAACTGCACTAATTTTCAGAGATTGTTTTTTTGTTAATTTTAGTTGCTCTTAATTTGCCGAGTATCAGCTTGGCCAACCAAAGAGTAGGGGGAACCTGTCGAAAAATGATATACTCGAGAGTCAAAAGTTAATTATATGAAAATAGTCTATCATTACAACGTGAACGAATAATTTTGAAAAAAAGATGTGCATTTGCAAGTTTTCAACATTCAATAAGGGGTTAAATTTAGATTTTGTATTTCAAATTTGTAAGCTATCATTCCAAGTGATTGTTTGGCACTTTCAATACAAAATGATACCCGCTAGCTTAGATTGGCAAAATAGATTCATCATTTTACCTTTATGTTGATTAAACGGACGGAAGATTTATAATGAATAATACATTTGAATTTTACTGCTATGCCATTTTGAGGAACGCTTACGGTAATGTCGGGAAATTGAATGGTAAGAGCATAGACATGCTGGAGTATATTCATATTAATATTTCACAGATTACCAATCAATGTTTTGTAATAGTCCATAGTAAGTCTGAAACTGAAACTTTTAAGTTAAAGATTTGATTGGATACGGATTATGACCTTTTAAGGAATGATTTAAGACCTATGACGACGTTAATATTAATCGTACGTAGCAAAGTAAAATATTGATTTTAATCAGATTGTATAGAATCATTTTGTTACTGCTTTGTAGGTATAATAAATACAGAAGTTATCATTTATTTATCGTGTGGAGTTAGCTTTTTTCTCATTCTCAGCTGCAGTATGGCTTGCTTCTATGGAGGCAAAACATATCAAAAGGCACACATTAACCAAAATGTAGGAATTAATCAAATTATAGATTTAAATAACCGCGAAGTTGACGAAGACAGTGACGCAGAAATAAGCCTAAATATTTTAACAGAAAGGGGAAGTGGTTACGGATATGCCGAAATAGATGAGCTTGAGCTGTCTGAATTCATTTTGATACCTCTCGAACAACTACATCTAGTACATGACGACAGTTCAAGTGATTCGTATGATGGGATCCGACCACCAAGCGATGGCTATTTAAACCCCTATCAGTCACTGTTGCCTTCTTTGCAGCAGTCCGGAAACGATCAGGATGATTCTGATGAATATAGTCATCCAGATGAAGAGAACAGAGCGTACACCAATCTTTACCAATCCTTACGATACAATCGACCACACGATTTAAGACAATATGCAAGCTGTGCCAGTGTACAGTATTTTGAAGTCCTAGACGAACCAATTCGAAACGAAAACGATCTTAATATAAAGGAATATAGTAAACGGCATAGGAAAACTTGGTAAGAAACAAATTGAAAAATGACAGTTTAATAGCCGTTAAATATATGCATACACAAACGTTGAATTCAAATAATTCACAAATTTCTAAATAGAAATGGAAAACGGTTATCTCATAATGCAAAAACAACACAAGACCTAAAACAAATACGCATAAACATGTTGCCTTAATGTTTTTTGATATTTTTTTACACACTTTGTATGTAAATTATGACTTCAGATGCTCAATGCTAATGTGTGTAAGTTTCTAGTTAAGTAGCTGTCAATAATTGGTTAAGTGTTTATTTATCTTATTATAATCAACTATTTATTTCCCCAGCAGCTTAGCACAAATCACTTTTTGTTGTACTTTTTCATAGTTGTGTAAACCATAAGACAAATATTATGTATTGTGCTTATAAACATATTCCAGCCATTATATTTATAATGTTTCTTTTAATCGGAAGATAGCAAAGAGTCAATAAAAACCAAAATCCTGAAATGATAGACATATTATTTGCAAAAACATGTATATAATTAATATCAACCTTAAATGGCAATGCAAGGTTTCTATCCTTTTGTTGTTTATCGTCCACATAGTCCGATTTATACTGTTACTGGTTTCTTCCATTTGGTCTAAAATCTAGTAAGTGTTACAAATGGACCTGTGTGTTCATGTGTAATGCTTAACTGATTATCAGTGTGGTTTTTTTTCAAATTGATATATTGTGTACTTACACCTTTACATATCTAGATAATATTTTCAATATTTGTGTATGCAAATAAAAAAAGAAAATACAGTTCACTTTGTTGTGTAGTTGTATATGTCTACTCTGTACATTGTTTTTTTTTTTTATCTGTAATGATAATTTAATCAACTATTTTTTAATTTATAATAATTATTACTTGATATTTTCTTTTTGAATAATGCATATTTACTGCTGCTCTTACAAATTGCGGACTTGCTGACTGTGCTGGATTGAAACATTTAGTTTAAATGAATTGCAATTGGTGTGTTCGCACAAAAATGATATGGTGGTATGAAATTCAAAACAATGTTTGTTTCCGGTGGAATAAAAAGTTATGCCCCATTCATACTAATGGAAAATTGGCCTCAAGATAGATAGCTGGAGTAGAAACAGCCGTCGGTTATAGGTCTAGCGCATTTTAAAATATGAGTCAACTCACACTTTTTACTTGAAAGTGTCTGTTTTACAAAGAAATGAACGTCATTCACCTGTTCTATATAATGATAATGTGAAGTGTAAACTCAGTTACCGTACACAGGGAAATTTCACTCATATCAATTTCACAAAAATTTAAATTCATGTGAATCTCACGTGAAATTCACGTGAATTTCACCTCAAACGAGCTTATACATGTACGTGAAGCTCACGTGAAATCAGTTCATGTGATTTTTATGTGAATCTCATGTGAAACTCACGTGAATTTCACGTGAAAATCACATCAATTTTTGACGTTGAATTCACGTGAATTTTCAAGATAAAGTAAATCAAACATGTAAATTTTCAAATTTAATTAAAATCATGAAAATTACCAATTTGTTTAATAAAGTTCACGTGAAATTCACATGAAAATGTTCACATTAGTTTCATGTATAAGCTCGTTTGAAGTGAATCTCACGTGAAATTGTTTACATGGTCAGTTTGAAACAATATACTTTAAATAATCAGAGGCCGAAAAATATCAAGGCAACTTTAAAAGCTAATAAGTCGACGAAAAGCTGACCACCCCATGACAAAAGCAAAAAAAAGACATAAGTACGATCAAGTCCATGAAACACTACATACAAAAGTTTAAGACTGAACAACATGAACTCCACCGAAAACCCGGGGGAATTTAGGTGCTCTGGAAGGGTAAGCAACCTCCGAGGAATTTAAGAATACCTGTTCCTGCTTGATCTTTATATGTAGCCCAAAATATCCTAATTCATAAAGGTGAGCTTTTCATCCTAAAATCATTAAGAGCAACGCAATCAGTGGAATCAGAAGAAATTTGTTATAATGTTTATGGGACTCTGTTTATTTTATTGGACCTATCACGATCACACAAGAACTGTCATGATCAGTTCGACGGTAAAACTGTCAAGTTACAATTATCAGGTTTCGTTAGAATATGGTACCCTTAAGTCCAGATGGAGGGTTGGACTCTAACGATCAGCTCTAGGGTAGAACTCTCACGATCAGTTATAGAGTAGAGCTCTCATGACCTCCTCTAGGGTAGAACTCTCACACGATATGTTCTAGAGCAGAATTCTCACAATCAGTTCTAGGGTAGATTTCATCGATCAGTGATAGAGTAGAACTTTTACAATAAGTTCTAGGGTAGATTTCATCGATAAGTAGATTTCACACGATCAGTTCTAGAGTAGAACTCTTCCAATCAGTTCTAGAGTAGATTTCAACGATCAGTTCTAGAGCAGAACTCTTACAATCAGGTCCAGATTGAATTTCACAATTCTAAAGTAGAACTCTTACAATCAGTTCTATGATAGATTCCCCCGATCTGTTATAGAGTAGAACTCTCATGATCTGTTCTAGAGTAGATTTCACCGATCAGTTATAGAGTAGAACTCTCACGATCAGTTCTAGGGTAGATTTCACAGAAAAACTACAGAGTAGAACTCTTCCAATCAGTTCTAGGGTAGATTTCAACGATCAGTTATAGAGAGGAACTCTTACAATCAGCTCCAGAATAGATTTCACCGATCAGTTATAGAGTGCAACTCTTACGATCAGTTCAAGGGTAAATTTCACCGATAAGTTATAGAGTAGAACTCTTACAATCAGTTCTAGGGTAGGGTCCACTGGTCAGTTATAGATTAGAACTTTTACAATCAGTTCTAGGGTAGATTTTGTCGATTAGTTTTATAATAGAACTCTTACAATCAGTTCTATGGTAGATTTCACCGATGAGTTATAGAGTAGAACTCTTACAATCAGTTATAGGGTAGATTTCACCGATCAGATATCGAGTAGAGCTCTCACGATCAGTTCTAGGGTAGATTTCGCACGATCAGCTCTAAAGTAGAACTCTTCCGATCAGTTATAGAGTTGATCTATCAGGTAAGTTCTATTGTATAGGCGAATTTAGTATACCGATACTTATATCACATAAATGGATTAAGAAGACAAACCAAGGGAACAAAAAAAACCTAAGGGAATCCCTTATATTTCAGGGTAAGCGTCTCTTGTTACGCATTCATCAGCCGCATAGGTTAGAACAGTTTAAAATGACGTTATTTAGAGCAGGTATCCTATCGTTTATAAGAACAGTGTTAGTTAGCCTAATAACCACTCTAAGTCATTAAGTAGATACAGAGGATTATAAGCAAAGTTTTCTATGTTTTATATGCACGTATGTAGTTCTCTTCTTCCTTCAGGTTTGTATTTTATGTTAAGAAAGAATACACGTGCCAAAAATAATATAGTCAAAATTAAGTAAAAGCATAAAATCTTACACTATATAGGTTGCACTTTGTAAATACAGCTGTTTTACAAAACACGCCTATTTTGGGGAGATATATGATATTCATAGATATTTTGTTTTGTTTACGTACTGGTTCCCAGATATGATCTCTATGTTTCATATCATAGAAGCAAAACTTGGGAAAATGTTACCAGTGTAAAAACACATGGATAGCGGCGAAATTGAATTTTGAGGAAGACCCAAAGTGAAGGGAGGGGTAGTACAGAATTTTTGTATAAGTTTAAACTCTTAAAAGTTCGGGGCATATAAATGTTGAAAATATGCCGCACAGCCCTATGTTTTGACTTTTGAATAAAATAGTAGTGCATATCAACTTTCCATTCTAGGGTATAACTTTTCACGAAACTTCATAGTAAAAGTGGCAAAGTTTTAGCCGTAAAGGGAGTTCCTATGGGAAATTGAATTGTCTATATTTACAGAAGTGCAACCTATAAGGATATACCAGAGTGTACATGACTTCATCCAGTTTTCTGTAATAATACATATGTGTGGTATATTGTTATGGAAATTGTGGCACATGCTAAACACATGTAAGTACGTAATCAATGAATATTTTGTTCGAACTAATAAGAAATAGTAAGATAGATATAAAAAAGAAATAATAAACTAAATTAATACGTTTATAGAAGAAATTATATCAGCTAGATAAATAAATTATTCAATAAAGTAGATAGCTAAATATATAGATAGAAATGTCAGAAACGGTTCTAAGATAGAACTCTCTCGATCAGTTCAAAGGTAGAACTATCACGATTAGTTCGATAGTAGATCAGTTACAATCTGATCTAAGGGTAATTTCGGTAAGCCGATGTTCAAAACTCATAGATAGATTAAGTCGCCAAATCAAGATAAGAAACAAAAACTGAAGGACTCATATGAAATAAAGAAGGAACGATACCGGAAGCGCCAATATGGTAATCGCTTTTGCTATGCATGCACCAACCATATTTCAATTTGGATAATAGTGACTTTTTCTTTTCACTTAAGATTTTCTCATAAGCGGGTTTACGCGACAATATTTTGTACTATTAACTATGTGTCGAAGTGTCATTATGGACATTTTGGTACATTCTATATGCAGGTAATAACGATATCCCTGTATTGTTTGAGAAAAAAAATATGGACCAATTCAAAGGAAAATTGATCAATAGATAATATTAGAAAATTTTGAAAATGAATTTACTAAGATTTATGACAAATTGAATTAAAATATTAACTACCTTAAATAATGAAAGGAAATTAAAAACAAATATCAATACAAAAATCAAAAATATATTGAATATCAACTATATCAATAGATAGCTATATAGAGCTGTCGAAAACTGTTCTAGAGATCTGTCAGGAAATCGTCATATAGGAGAAACTGTCGCATCTTCTAGTTTACAAGTAGATACATTTTGAGTGTTTCCGGACATTGATTTTTAATTAGACTTTACTTTTAAATCCAAATCATTTTGGAAAAGACACACATGTATGATGTCTTGAATAGTAGAATTGCTATCATGAAACAACTGAAAGATATTTACAAATAATATATTTATCAAATTCAATGCATATGAAATCATAATTTAGATATACAAGAAAACTACTAGCTACTTATAAAATATCAACATTTGTATTCGAATCAAATATTTTATTTATAAAAAAGTATATACGTGCAAGAAAAGGGCTCTTGTGTAGAAAACTAGATGCGACCGATACCAAAGGGACATCAAACTCATAAGTCGAAAATAACCTGACAACGTAATGGCGAAAAATAAAAAAAGACCAAAAGACAAACAACAGCATACAAAACCCAACATAGAAAACTTAAACTGAGCAACACGAACCACACCAAACACCGGGGGTGATCTCATGTGCTTCGGACGGGTAATCAAATTCTACTCGACATGTGGCACCCGTCGTGTTGCTCATGTAAGTACACACCGGATGATAAATCTAATTCGGTAGGTCACATTCGAGGAAAAGAGGACGGAAATGAGGTTAAGACAATTGTAACATCTGTCGTCATCTGTATCCATATTCCATAATAGTCTTTTCTGGTTTGATTTGTTTTACATTTATCATTTCGGGGCCTTTTATAGAAGAGGGACGAAAGATACCAGAGGGACAGTCAAATTCATGAGCGTTCCTGATGAAGGTAAATCCAGAAAAGCGCTTCGGACGCATGAAATTATTAAACGTGTTGTTTTCAATTTTTTTCATAGATCGAAAACAAACTGACAACGCCATGGCCA